TCGGCAAGTCAATGTCCAATGTTACCCAATGATCTCCTTTTACGAAATGGCAGACATATAAGTGATCGACATCAATAAACCCCTTCCTGTTTGTCACTGCTCCAAAAAGATATTCACCATTGAACATTTCCAAATATTTTCTGGAAAAAATCCAGGTCTTGGGATCGTAGTCACTGTAATTTAGAACCCAAGCGCTGACAAACCAATGGTCTAGAAATGCAATCCTTGTAGAACGATAAGGACATGGATCAGAAAGAGACCTTATATGGAACATATGCATCGCAGAATTCATTTGCTGAAAAAAAAAGAGAATGAAAATGAAGACTCATATTAAGACAACAAATCCAATGTATTAAAATAAGAGAAGAGCATTACTAACCGAGCAACCCAACCAGCCGTAGGTTAGTTCAGGCCAATCTTACCTGGGAGTAATAATAACATTGTAAAATTCAAAGCTTGAATTGCTGACCCGTAGAGGTTGGCCCCTAAAAATGTTTGCAAGATCATTAGTAATACTGTTCGTATATAGAATAATAATGTAATGGAGGAAGGAGGAAAGGATCACATACTCTTTAAGGTTAATAAAATCCATCAATTTACGCACTTTACTCTCTTCCACTTTGGAAAACGGATCGTAGCTTGTAGCTGAAGGGGTCACATTTTTTACGATACACTTGATATTTGAGCTCCCCGTGAATTGGGGCTGCAATGCCGCAGTTAAATTTTTTTTTATGACCAGCTGTGTTACCATTCAAACGTCTGAGGCCTTGTCCTAGTGCTCCAAACAGATTATCAAGTTTCTGTTTTTTCTCCCGGATCTCAGATTCTGATTCTGTTGAAATTAATTAAACCATCGCACCCTTATCTCCAATCTTCTTATGTGGTTTCTCAACACCATTCTTCTTGTTAACAGCAATCTTCGCATCTTGTTTCTTATCACCATTCTTCTTAACAGCAATCTTCTTAAGCTGTTGTTTTTCACCATTCTTCTTTACTTGATCCGTAGCTTTGTTCACATTCTTCACAACGCGGCTACTCGGGAGATCGTCTTGGGATGTAGCTTTTATTACTATCCATGACTGATGAAAAGAAAACATGGAAAATCATTGAATAAATAACTAAAGACCAAAATCATTCATAAAACTCATAAACACATTTTTAACCAGATAACCAAATCCAAAAACTAATTATGAGCTAAATTAATTAACATCATACAAGTCATTACATGTGACCACATTCAAAGACTACAACAAAAGTTTTAGTAACTACTAATAGACTAGAACAAAAGTTTTACTAACTACATGTCACCACATTGAAATGACCATTCACAAAACACCATATCAGATTACATATTTTCAAAATTTCTAACATACCAGTGATTTACTTTTCACATCCTCATCCACATGATTATTAGATGTTGCATCTTCCTTAGTGGCACCACGTTGGAGATGTTCTTGTAGTTGTCTAACATCCTTTTCGAGCATAGCAATTTTTTTACCAACTTTAGCATCAATTGCAGCATCCACTTTTGTCACAATGTTGGTTTCCATAGACTCCACTTTTTGAATTAGTAACTGCACTAAATTCACAAGTCCAGAGACTGAATTTTGATCAATCATTTGGCATCGGACTCTCCTTGTTGCCACTGTCCTTCTCATTAGCCAATACACATTAAATTTCCAAAGAGTGTGAGAAAAACAAGTCTTATTTGTATTTAACACAAAGATTCAATGTTAAAAAAAGAGAATTTGATCTTTTATTCACCTTTAAAGTTTCTTCAGCTTCACATGATGGTTTCTTCTTTTGATGTGTATTCGTCTCAGCTACATTATCATCATCATTCTTCATGACATCTACTTTCCTTTTTCTCAAACTTGTATTTCGATCTTTCGCTACAGTGACATCCCAAGCAGTTGCATCAAACCGATCTTGAATATTATCCTTGATCAAATTGTCCAAATCTTCATCTAAATATTTCTCGTCCTTGTCCTCAATCCACTTAGGATATATCTCTTCTTCTGGCTTTACAATCAAATGCCTCACACGCACCTAAACAATTAATATCGAGTAGCCATGTTAAACAACAATGACACATGAAAACATATATATATATATATATATAACTCAGCCTAATTGTCAAGCAACTCAGCGTACGTATAAAATAACCCAACTACCAAACATAGTTAGAAAGCATATCTTATCATAAGTTTTTTTCTCCTTCGCAAACAAGACATCAAAGTTGATTCGCTTACGTGATCTGCCCCATGAAACAAGAGGAACTTCTTTCTTCTTCTCATACTCTGTTCTTAGACAATGTATTGACTCATAAGCCTATATCAGCAAAACATGAATACACCCTCGAATTATGTATGTGTTGTTTCTCAATAAGTGACCACTTTAATCGAATCTATCAGACTTTAAAACCCACTTGACCCCAAGGGTACCTATCGAAGATATATGGATCCATAACTTTCTTGGCAGATTCCAAAGGGATTCTACTAGCAGGAGAAATACCAAATACTGAAACTGACAAAATACAAAACAGCCCGACCATTCTTCTCTTGGCGAAATTCCAGGCCCTACATCTATTCAAAACCAATTTCAGCTCATTTAGTAAAGGTTCATGCCTTGTAGAAACCTCTAGTTCACTCCAAAACTCTCTTTGGTCGACATCCCAGTTGTCTTGATCGTCAAATGGATCGCAATTCAAACCAGTAATGTCTGAAAATTCATACAAAGAAAACCTTATCGGTTGTCTATCAATGAGGGACCATATTTCCTGATTCATCTTCACCTCCAACTGATTTGATAATAAGTAATGGACAGTCCTCGCAGACCAAATATAATCCATTTCGTGAAACCTAATGAAGTCTCCAACTGATGAATTTCTTATGGCATTCCATACATCTTCTCTAACTTCTTCTTTCACCATTGACAATTTGCTCATATAACAGTTGTGGTTGGTGCTTTTTCTTTGAATAGGTGCTTTTCTTTTTTCAAATTGAAGCTGAGGATACTTTCTCCTACCACTTGAAGACGCCATGTCTAGAAAAAAAAAAGAATTTCAAAATTAGAGATTTATCAACGACTAAAACAAGTTGAAAGCAAACTTTTTTCAGCTACAATTACTTCAAACCAAGTATATAGTTAAAACATATTCAATTGGCGTAGAATCTAAGAGAATGTAATCTAAGAATTTGTTTGAAAAAAATAATTGATGGAGAAGAGGAAAAAAAATAATTGGCGGAGAAGAGACAAAAAATTCAATTGAGGGAGAAGAGAAACAAAATTCAGTTGAGAAGAGAAACAAAATTCAATTCACATACCAGAAAAACCCCACAGAAAAGGAACCTTTGCAATTCGTCAAAGCAGGCGATGTGGTCGAAGTAGAGGCGAGAGAAGAACTTAGCAGGAGGAAATCAAAAGAGGCGAGAGATAGTAGCAGAAGGAAAATAGATTGGAACCCAGGCAACAGAGTCGTCGGACGAAGAGGTGGTGGTGGCTAGGTCGACGAATGTCGGAATCGTCAGAGGTATTTTATCTTCGTCGTCGGGGTCATCGAGGAAGAGAAGGATTGTTTTTTCTTTTGTCGACAAGTTTATTTAGAATCACGGTTTTATTAGATCTGTCATTTTATTATTTTCTTTAATTATATATATTATAGATATTAGTAATATATTAGGGATAAATGGCAATATTGTAGAATAAATATTTAATCAATAGGTTAATAAATTTTTTAATTAAAATTAGAGTCATTCTAATAAACCTGTCAACTAGAAATTAATGTAGTAATAAAATACTAAATTTGAGTCATTCTAAGTAATTTCTCTTCTTTTAAACAAACAACAATTAATTTATTTTTTAATAATTTTTTTAAAGGCTGAATAGACCAAATTCAAATTTGCTAGTGAGATAGATCTTTTGTCGTATGAATGCTCAGAGAAGCTCTACATTAACATCACTTCCAAGATGTAACAGTTGTGTCAACAAAATTCCGATGATATCTTGCGAACTCACTCAAACCGAGAAGAACAAAATCTTTCTCGAAGTAAATATAAAAAATAAAAATAAACAGAGTGGTTTTTTTTGCAATCTGAGGTGGTGCTTCTTCTTCTTCTTCTATACCAGCCAGACACAGAGGTTCTGAAGGATATAATTGAGTTTCAGTCCCGTTTGATTGTGACTCAGTCCAATCAAATGCAAAGCTACCATATGTTATTTGACTATCTGGCCGACAAATATCCGAATTTTGCTGCTGAACTCCGAGCCCGTGCATTGGAAAACGCCTTGTCTTCTAGAGCCACAAACAACATCTCTCAATAGTTCATGTTTTCATAAAACATTTATTTTAATTTTGTACTAAATTTAAATTTAATTTTGAATTTAAATTCAATTTTGGATTTGGATTTGAATTTGAATTATAAATATAATTTTCTTTTTAATAATAATTTAATTTCAATTATATTTTTCTTTTTAGTAATAATTTTAAATATAATATCAATTATATTTTTACTCTGCCGTCACAAAGATATTGAAACGTGCAGCGTATTTGCAACAACAGCTCTCGCAAATTGATGGCAATTTTGCAACGTCTTTACGGCTTCAGTTTCCAAATCCTTCGCAACTTCTTCGCAAAGGCTGTTTCCTAGTCTGTCGCAATTTTGTCGTAACGTGTGCAACGCTTTCGCAACGTTTGGCTTATTCGCGATGACATGCCTTTGTGACGAATGTGCAGCGTTACATATCTGTTGCACTGTAGCGACTGTTTAGCGATGGATTTAGGTCATCGCAAATTTTGTGATATATATTGATTTGCGATATTTTTGTGTTCATCGAAAATTCATCGCTACAATTTATCTGCGATAGACTTGTGACCGATTTCATTATGGCAATTCAAGTGTTTTCTTGTAGTACCGATCTCAACAGATACATTTCTAACTTAAGAGGGAAATGCAAAACAAACCCCTTAAAAACATTTTAAATTCTCGTTTTCTTTGTGCTCTATGAAATATAATAATACAATCCACAAGTGACAATGAACAAACCATGGGAACCTATTTTGTATTTTGTAATTAAAACTTTATTAGAAATGCTACAAAAGAGAGATATGGAACTACAAAGTACATGTTTTCTCCACTTCTACTTATTCGCTACGGTTCGTTGTTGTTGAACTATTAACACCGATGTGTCGCTCTTGTAATCCGGTGAGGCCAAGAAATCACCGATGACTCCAAGCTCCTCAAACTCACACCAATTCTCTATCCCTTTGGTTGCCACGTGGTTCTCACCGCATGTTCGTCCTACGATGAAAAGGCTGTAATCGAAAGCCATGGAACGTAGAAGCACTGACAAATCCGTTCCATCTACTATCTCTTGTTCCAAGTAAATTATGGAACTTTTTTGGTTTAGAACCCCTGCATCATTGCTTTGTATAACCTCTTTTAGATCCACTGTGTCAAGCATTTGATCCCATCCTGTTAATTCTTTGCTATTTCCTGATGCTAGAAGATGTAGAACCGTTAATGTCACATTTTGTTGAAGAGCCATTCGCTTTGCATAGGCCAATGCTTCCCTATCGTCTTTTCCTCCCACGAATATCACACATACCTGTCATCAAAATCCTTCCAAGTACTTAGTTTTGGATAACAAGGGTAAGTCTTATTCTAAATACATTTGAAAATTAAGAAACTTGTGAAAACCGACAAAAACAAAAATTACCTAGTAACAAAATAAATGAGATTTTCAACCACTAGAGCGACTTCTTACCCAATGAACTACCATGTTTTTTTTTCGTATCTAGTTTAGTAAAAAAATTGATAAATTACAAAGATGAGAAAATGTAGTTATGAGTATACCTTAATGTTTTGTTGAGATTCTTGCTTTTTGTTAAGGAGATGGCGTTCAACAAGGATACCGACAGAGCTAGGAGCTTGTTTCAAGACGTTGGCATTGAGAAGTCGGATCATTTGATTGTCAGACACTATGGATGTTCGGTCGAGAGACCAAGTCCGGTGGAAAGGAAGAATGATAAGCATGACAGATTTGTCGAGAGCTAGCCAACAAATATCATCTTGCATATGGTTCAACTTTGCAATGCAAGTGAATGTGTCTATGGAAATGGAACTGCATACATAACGGTTGAAATGTTGGAAAGCAAGGATGACGTTTTCTGAGAGTTTTGTCCCGGACCGGACTCCGAGTTTCTGAATATTGTTTGAGACCAAAGAAGGAACTTCTTGACCTTGTAACTCGATAAGGTGAAGGACGTAGCAAGTGAGAGGGCTCTCGTTGGATTGATAAGAAACTTCTACAAAATTGATCATGGAAGAAATGTGATCTGGTCTATGGATGCACACAAGAATCTTTAGCTCTCCAATGTTCTTCGTACTTGCTAAATATCTCTTTTGGTAGCACACGAACTTCTTAGATGGGTCATAGAGAAACTTGACCATTGTTGGTATGAGCACCGAGTTGAGAAAGATGGATAAGACTAAGATTGAGAAAGAATCTCTGGATATAACCTGTTTAAAACCAAACAGATTGATGAGTCTTTATATTCTTGTTTCTTGCAAGAAAACTAAATAATGATATCAAAAGATGGGAGACTAACCTCAAGTCCAAAAGAGAAAAAGTAGAAACTTAGTTCGATAACACCCTTATGAGACATGATAAGGGAAAGAATAAAGGAGTCCTTCAACGACATTTTATAGAGGTAAGGTATGATCATGAAGACAATGAGCTTCATGAAGAAGATGAGCAAGACTAGAGACGCAACCGCGAATTTCTTGTCATCACCGCTAAAGAATGTTAAACTGTCTTTCCAGGTTTTGATATCAGTCCTGAGCATAGTAGCTGAAAAGAAGAGAGGCATTATGATACCGAAGTTGAAGCTCTCTAATCTCTCGACCAATGCAGAACCAATAGGGGGTCCATTGGGTATGGCGAGACCAAGAAAGAAGGCTCCAAATGCAGGAAACTGCCCAAGATAGTCCCAAAACATACTTGCTAAACAAACTATGACGAGAATACCGTAGATATATTTGTCTTCGATGGGTCTCCCTTCTCGTTTCCTTTTGATTACTTTATACAATATCGGCCTCACAACACCAAAGGAAATAACGATACAGAAGGACATCTCAAAAAGTAGTCTGACACCTTCAATCTTTGATGGCAAACCAAGAGAATTCATTCCCAACAAGAACAATAGTCCTACCATATTAGAGACTGAGGCCGCGGATAAAGCAACTCGACTAATAGACGAGTGGCTCATGTCGAGGTCACGCAAAAGCCTTGCGATTTCCGAGAAGGATGTGAGGCTCTCCATTATCAACACTGTATTATACTCTATGGATTTGAGCGGTCTGTTCGCAGCTGATTTAAGTTTGTAAAGCAATAAGCCAACAATTATAGGGAAAGTAACCGATGCAACTCCGGCGAGGCTTGCTTGTGCTTCAACCTTGAAGACTCTCTTGACGTCCATTTTCACACCCTTGAGGAACCAAAAAATCACGAAGCCAAGTGATCCAAGGCATCCTGGAATGTCGATTCTGTCTTTGGGGAACAAGATCTCATGAATCATCGATTTGTCTCCCGAAAAAGTTAGAAGAACGTTCAAGAGTAGCCCTGCCTTCAATGTAAGAAGGATAATGTTATGATTTTGCGTAGTAAAACATAAGTATTCAGAAAAAAAAAAAAAAAAAGAGGAAATAGAACTCACAATCATCATAGAGGTGAACTTAGGAATCAAAAGACCTAGTTTTTTTAACAGAATATTCAACAATTGCCAAAGGATGAACACAAGCAAGATGACAAGCTCAAGATTCGGAAGACGATATTGCCAAAAGTGAAGACCAACAGTCTTTATAAACACTTTCTCCCAAATACCATATGAAGACACCTTAGCAGGATGTGACTCGCATTTAAGCCCATGATCTGATAAACCCTCACCATACCAAGCCATATCAAATAACATTTCCATTCCAAGATTCACACCTCCAGAGTACCCCAGATCTAAATCCGTCATATTCTCCATTTCCATGATTTTAGAATCTTGTGAGAAATCTTGTGAAAAATGGGGAAGATGATGAATATATGTTGGATTCTTTTTGAAGATAAACCTTATTTAAACAAATGAACACAATTTTTTTATGATGTTAATAGGTGTATGCCGTTTTAAAAACACACTTTGAACATATCAATAAGCTTTGTTACTCCACTCTATAAATAGTAGATCAAGTTAAACCGTAGAATATGTCAGCTAGAATTCATTGTCAAAACGGGCTGAGATGTTCCGGTGAATTGTCTCATCTGCTAAGCGATATGTATTAGAAAACTCGACCATCCCATTCCGACAAAATGAATAACGACATGAATCTGATAATGAAATATAGATAACGACAGAAGTTACAAGCAAATTATTAATATCGAACAAATTAAAGATTAGAGCGAGACCATGTAAAGATTTAGAGGAAGGTTTCTCAACATACAAATAGCACCAAATTTTAATCCATCAATTAGAAATAACTTTCTATACTTTCTTTCATATGATCACGAAGAAAAATTAATAAGAAGTAGATAAGATAACATAGTAGGCGAAGAAAATATAACAGAAAAAAAAAAGACAATTAGAGAACGTGCTCGGTTTCCATGTAGACGAAGAATAACAAAGAAGAAGCAACAAAATCTGAATCGATGGATGTCTTTCTTATTCTTTTTTTACTAACTCTTAAGTGTGTTTCTTAATCTTGTGTGTATTATTGTAAAAGGTTTTTGTGTTTTTAAGGTTGCAGGTTCCAATTAGGGATGATTTCTGGGATTTTGCAAAATTTGTGTTACAATATGAGTTTAGCCGTGGAGAGAAAGCACCAGGAAGATGTTCTATCAACGAGAAATGCCTTGCGGACTATTCTGTGCACCAGGAAGATGTTCTAAATAGTTAATGCCGAAGCTATGGAAGAATTAAAGAAATGTGCAAACTGTTGAACCAGAAAATCACCACTAGGGTTTTGATTTCCAGTTGTGGATTTTAGAGAATATCAAATCGGAGCTCGGAGATTAGGTCATCGAAAAGATGAACTACTTGAAGTTTTTATCAAGTTATAGCTGGACCTTTAAGAAAGGCTTCCTACGTACCCTTGCAAAGGGATCAAGCCATTTGTAGTTCGGTTGCGAAGTGTTTAGACAGAAAAAATCTAGAGAGAATTAGGTCTTCTCTCTAGATTATTGATTTTCGGTGGTTGCTTTTGGTCGGGTTTTCATCCAATTTTCTGATTGTCTTCAACTTATGAGAAGCTCTCTATTTATAAGAAGCTCTCTATTTATAAGAAGACGAGGTCGTTTCTTTGACTTCGTTTCCCTTTTTCCTTTAGAAATATTTTCCTTTTCCGTTTAGGAAAAGTTCTTCTTTTCCTTATTCTTTGGAAGTTTTCCATTATCTTTAAAGATTCTTCCTTAATCCATAAGTCGGAGTGATTTTCCTTATCTTGATGGGCTTAGGTTATTACTAGAGAAAGTCTTTTAGGAAATGTTTTCATTTCCCCTCTAACAGTAAGTCCCTCCCCCCAGTTCGGCGAGACTGATTGTAAATCAGGTTGGCGGACTTCATGAAGCAAAATTGGTTTGATCTTGCAATAAGCGTCAGCTCGTCGAGAGTGTCTTCCATATTTAAGCTTGGCCTGTTAAGGATAATTCTTCAAGAAAGTAATTGCTCGTTTGGATTTACATCGCACTTCGGATGCAAAGTGTTGCATTTTATTGAATAAAGATTTTCTTCCTTTTTGTAATGCAGCGCTGCTTCGGCGAGAATGCTTTTTGCATTGAAGTTTATGCAACTGATTTTAGATGACTAAACCAGATAGAATGTTAATTTTATCACACGAAGCGATAAATTTATCTATTCGATTTAGATAAATCAATCAATCAAAGTGATAGTGTAGTGATGCTTTTCAAAACGTGTAATGGTCTTTCAAAGACATAATGCTTAAACGCTCGTTGACGAGGTAATCCTTAACTTTGAAGGATTTGCGAAGTCGACTTTTTGACTTGCGATGCGGGGGCATTCTTTTGGCTGGTACTGGAGGCGAGATTCATTTGCTCGTCTTATACCAAACGTCAACGAGATCGAATACCAAGCTTTTAGGATTCACTTCGGCCCGAAAAGTATGATCAAGGATCGTGCGAGTATTGTCCTCGGCTTTCATCTTATCCACTTTGGAAGTACTTAAATCAGACTGAAGCATCAAAGGAGTAGTGATCAGCCACTAATTTAATTTTTGCTTTTTGCTTTCTCGAATCGAATGTTTGGCCAGGACATCGATTCAGCAAAATGCATTCGCATAAGGGAAAATTGCTCTACGTGCCAAGCTTGTTAAGAGTTTGAGCATTCTCTAGTTCAGCAGTGTGAACATTCTTTTGCTTTTCACTTGCCGTAATTCTCACTTTTGGAGTTTCTTTTGTTTTTTTTTTTTGTCTTGAGGTTACGTGAATGCAAGCTATTCTTTCTTCTTCCTTTGAGATTCCGAACTGAAGTTGACGCTTTAAAGCTTGTTTTTCCTTGGTGTTGAGAATTTGTTTATGAATTCACGATTGAGCTGAACGTGGATTGGAAAAGTTGTGAAGCCAGACGTTGTGGCAGTTGGAGCGATAATCGTGGTAGATCACACACGAATCTCCCATGTTTATTTGAAGAAGATGCATTGAAACTGATTTTTTTACAGTGATATCGTGCCAAATTGCGAGCCGATTTACGGGTCGAATATGCCTCAGAATAGGTAACGGGAGGAAGATCTGAATATCTGACATCAAGAGCTTTCCAACCGTATGTAGATCGTTTTCTGGATCCTTCTGAGTCGTCTGGAAATTGCCCCGAAATACTTCTTCTCAGAACCTCTTCTTTTTGGTTTCTGAAAGTCGCAGGTTTTTATGATTTTTTACGATATTGTGAAGCGATTTGTTGATGGAGTTTAACTCCGATTGATACGCCGTAAGCTCCTACAGATTCTATGCAAAGATATCTTTCTATATCTGCCTTGTAAGCGATATGAATGTTCTTGGTTGTTCGGGAATTCTCCTCCAAAGATCATTACTTGCACTGTTTACTAGGTTATAGATTGCAGGTTTTGCAGAGATTTCTTGTCCGAGAAGCAAAGTCTCCAAACGAATTTCCTACCCTAGCTAGGGTTTTAGCTCGTTGTCTTTAGACTCTTGGGTTGATGGTAGTTACACCAGTACGTTATTTGTACTTAACCAGCGTTTCCTTTACTGTTGGTGAGTTACCGAAGTAGCATCCTCCATATTCCCCTTCTTCTTTGAATTAACTTTTATGCAGTCTTTTTGAGACTAGGTCGGTATGTCGTACTGACGAACTGACTGAGCGACATGCTTTTGTCGGAAAAAATTTTTTGCTTGTAGTTTCCGTTTGATCACCATCCCGTCAGTATAGGCTAAGGTAGCTTGGTAGTGGGTCTTGTTTTTTTTTTTTTTTTTTGAGATGTGAGATTCAGATCTCGGCTTTGAATTACGAGGTGGAAACTTGTAGCACTTCTTATCTTTATTGTAATCTTGATCATATTTTGGAAATCACTTATCTTGATATTTCCTTTGGCGTAATGAGCGAAGCTGAAGACACCGTTTGAGACGTGACGACTCAAGAGATAAGTCTGCCGAGGTGGCTAGGGCTTTAGAATTGACGTTCTCTTTCCTCCAACCTTTCGAGTTTGATAATTTTATAGTCCCCACAGTCGGCGCCAACTGTTGAACCAGAAAATCACCACTAAGGTTTTGATTTTCGGTTGTGGGTTTTAGAGAATATCAAATCGGAGCTCGGAGATTAGGTCATCGAAAAGATGAACTACTTGAAGTTTTTATCAAGTTATAGCTGGACCTTTAAGAAAGGCTGCCTACATACCCTTGCAAAACGATCAAGCCATTCGTAGTTTGGTTGCGAAGTGTTTAGACAGAAGAAATCTAGAGAGAATTAGGTCTTATCTCTAGATTATAGATTTTTCGGTGGTTGTTTTTGGTCGGGTTTTCATTCTGTTTTCTGATTGTCTTCAACTTATGAGAAGCTCTCTATTTATAAGAAGATGAGGTCGGTTTCTTTGACCTCGTTTCCCTTTTTCTTTTAGGGATATATTTCTTTTTCCTTTTAGGAAAAGTAGAACTTTTCCATATTCTTCGGAAGTTTTCCATTATCTTTAAAGATTCTTCCTTAATCCACAAGTCGGAGTGATTTTCCTTATCTTGATGGGCTTAATCCACAAGTCGGAGTGATTTTCCTTATCTTGATGGGCTTAGGTTGTTGCTAGAGAAAGCCTTTTAGGAAATTTGCTCATTTGCCCTCTAACACAAACGTAAAATCTTTAATTTATATAACATAAATGTGATTCGTTCTTATTTCCATTGATCTATCTAATGTGTGCGTTCACATTAAACAGTGCAAAGATGTAAATATTGGAGTGGTTAAGAGTCCATTGTGGTTTGAGTTTTACGAAAAGAAATCATCCTCATATCTTTCAAAGGAGACAGAGTGATATGGGATTTCATTTTATGCTGTTGAGTAGTTATAAGAAAAAAATTGTTTGAAGTGAGTTTAAATCAGCTTTTAACGTCTTTTGTTTGGGTTCCAGTTGAACGAAAAAAAAAAAGTTTGGGTTCTGATGTTGTTCGCATGTGTATGGAACCAATACCACAAAGAGGTTATCCTCAGACCATGAAGGATAACGTTGGTGCTCGATTACCATTCTTTACATGCCCGGGTAGAAGGAGAAGCTGAGGGGTTTTTTATGATTTTGTTGGTATCCGAAAGGTAGAGAGGACTGACCGCTCTCCCGCCCACATCTGCCTTTCTTACTCACGTGGACAATGTTAATCCATTGAAACCGATTTGTAAATCAATGTTAATCTTGTTGAGCTCAACCAGAAAACAAAAAATCTTTTAAAGTTCTGTTTAAGAAAGAGAATTGTGTAATGGCAATGATGGGATTAGAAGTTTTGAGTTTTCATATTTAAGTTATAAGTTTAGGAGATAAGATTTATTGAGTTTTTGGGTTTTTTTTTTTATGTTTTGTTAAAATTCAATTT